GCGCTTGATAAGGATAAGTACAAGCACCATGGTTTCTACTCCTGGCTTGAAGAAGCTTCTAAGAAACCATTCCACCCTGTGGCCATCAGGCCATCCGATTTCCCGTACCGCTTAATACGACGCAAGCAATCGAGCAATGCGCTTTCTAGCAAGTTGGCCCAGCCACCCCCCCTCGCGCAAATCGGAACACCTACGAGACCGGTCAATGAAGAGTTCTCAAGCCCCGCTCGTTCATCGCCAGCTGGCAAAAGTATCAGAAGGCCAGGCCGTCCATCCGGTGTGAAGTCTAGCCTTCGTTTAACAGCCGCTTCCAGAAAGCGAGCTCACTCTGATGTGGACAGCGACTCGCAGGATGAAGGAGCAGAGCCGAAAAGATCACATTATTTTTCCGACGAAGACGACGTGATTGAAAACGAGGGCCAGCTAGGGTCATCTGAGGATGAACCGGCTCCTAGTTCGTCCGAGGAACTCGTCAAAATTTTCCTCAGAGCAGACAACATACCAACGACTATTCCACGCGGCCCTGACGAGACCTGGGTTTGCGAAGAAGACGATTGTGGATACGTAGTCCGCGGTGGTGATATTCGAGACTGTCGTGAACGCATCAGGCAACACTTTCACGAGCACGAGCGACAGATGAACCGTGTAAGTCTCGCAAGGACGGAGGGTTCACGTGGACATCTTCCGGTGAAGTACGTATATTTTAAGCCTTTCTTGATACTCGTCGAGCTGAACAAACCTCCCTTCCTTCCCGTCCCCAAAACCCCGACCCCTGGCCTAGGAACTACGGATGAAACCGACACAGCAACATCAACCCCAACCCTGACCAACAGCCCTGTGAGATTTCACATGTACCAACCCCAGATTTCTGTGTCATCCCCGAAAGCTTCCGTACCTGTTACCACGCCTAATTTCAGGTCGATGATGGACGGATTTCGAAGACGCCCTCACCCTGTGTCAGACAACATTGATCGACTAACATTTGAACAATAGTCACCTCATGGATAAGTTGAAAAAATTGGGCGAGGCGTCCCAAGCTGCCGAGCAGCTCGTGATTGGCAGAGCTGTATTGCCTCAGCGCATCAAAAGAAATCTCCTTACATGATGAGATCAACAGGCGACCCCTCTACTCTACGCCCTAACTTTCTTTTATTTGCATTAGATTGCTTTCGATTCAATGGACTGAAAGATAATACCCTCAACATTAGCTCGGCGCGTATGTATTCTATAGGCTCTATCGGCAGCATGGTACTTTTGGGGTGTTTGGTCTTGATTTCCAGCATCAGGTGGATACTACCACGATCAAGGATAAGGAGTGTTAAGTGTTGCATATGGATTGAGTTATGACTTATGTATGAACGATATCAAATGCGTGTCCACATCCTTCAAGTACACGAGTAACGGTGACCGAATCACATCACCAGTTTAAAGGCAATTAAATGTGTGACCACGACACACTTGCTTAGACACTATAAGTATTGCTCGTCATAGAATGGCACACCAGAGGGAATTTTGTAACATGTCATGGCTATGTCTAGTTGAATGATGAATCCTGCAAGAGAACTCTTTAACGTGCATGGTATTAGACAAATTTCGCCTCAGCTCCTGTACCTATAATTCTCGAGAGGAAGCTACACCGAGTGAGCTCCTTTTAGCATATGGCCATTTCTAAAATACAGCCCCTATCTATCACCTCCCACCACCACAACCTTGCAATTAACTCCTCTAATTCTCTGCTCCATCAGTTACCATATTATCTTTGCCTACATTCTTGGCAGCCTCGAGAGCAAACGCCTCCTCAACAGCGCCCATTCTGTTGAAGACGCGCAGCCATCGCTGCCCCCATCGTCGGATCATGGCCTCGCGATCACTTGATCCGTCGCCTTCTTCCATTAGCTCATCCTTGCTTCCCCCGGCCCAGCTAATGAGGGCATCATTTGTAGCACGGAAAAGGTCGCGGATTGACTTGACTTCCTTGGCGCGTGTCTCGTCATCGGTATCAGGAGAAGAAATCACCTGGCGACTGCGAGTGGCAACCTTGGTAAGTGTGTTGGAGACGAGCTCAAAGACATGTGGCTCAGCTAGACTCTCGCCTCCATTGGCGCCGTTTGCTGGTGTGCTTGCGACAATGGCCCAGTCCACCACGGTCATTGGGGTCAAAATAGAGTAGTTGAGAAGCTTCTCGGTGATGGAGAGTGCGATACCTGGGTGTGCATGCCAGTAGCTCATAAGTGCTGAAATGATCTGAGCACGCGCCGCCTCTGAAGCGTTGCCGGCTTCAAGCAGTCTGCCCTTGGCCCGGTCGATGCAAGCCAGAACATGGCTCAACGACTTGGAGCCAACCCAGCAGATGGCGGTCATAAAGACATCTGTGCTAGCAACCAAGGGATCCAGTGATTGCTCCGAAGCTTGGGACTGGATGCTGTCGATAAAAGGTTGAAACTCTTCATCCGCAGCTTTTTTTCTCAGAAGACCGGCGATTTCCATGCCCTCCTTGGAGAATGGTGTATCTAGATCGCATGTCAGTTGTCTGGGTTTCACGACACAACAAAGTACATACCAGGGTTCTTGAACTTGAAATCAGGGACATCCTTCTCCTTCTCAGGGCCTACCAGAGGCAGATAAGGTTCAGGCAGAGTCTTCTGAATTCTCTGGGCGAAACTGAGTCTCACCTCCTTATCAAGTGCTCCTTTCAGGAACCACTTGCTAGGGTGATAATCAGGCAGTTGAGCATCGTCTACCCACTCGGCCCACTTCCATGTGAAGCCAAAGTTGCTGAGATGGTGGGAAAACCAGTCCATAAAGCGGTAGCTCAGTGCCAGATCCATGCGCGGGCTGTTTCGGTACATGTATCGGATCGCCCTACCAAGACTGGGTGCAATGGCTGCTGGTGCCAGCTTGCAGGCTTCGGTAAGAACGGAGTGATAGTACACGACTTTTCGTTCGGGAATAGGCAGTTGGAACAACTGTGAGAAGACGGTGTCAACAGCAACATCCTCAGGTTTCCATGTGTTCTTTCCCGTTGGGAAATTCTTCAGTTCGTCGAAAGGTGTAGCTCGTTTAACAAAAGTGCCGTCAGCGAAGTAGCAGTCCAAATCCATCAAGTAGCGAGCCGTGACGTTGCGGTTAAAGTCCAAAATGTTGATTGTGTCGAGAAGACCGTCTCGGATAAGAGAGGAAGCAATATCGGTGACGGCAGGAACTGAGGGTATATCCTGATTGGTGTATACGGAGAAGTAAATCTCAGGAAACAGAGGGCGAGGTCCGGCAATGACAGTCGCAGGGATGGAAATCTCGGGAAGCGCGTGCTTGGGCGCACTCGAGAGTTTGTCTTGCGCCTCAATATCCTCCAAAGGCATCTCCCAGGGCCGTGGCAAGCACGATAGCTCCCAGTTATTGGCAGCTTCGGATTGAAGTTGTTTTTGGAGCAGCATGCACACGCTCAGCGATGTGCCGGGGCTCTCCTCCTTGCCTTCGGGGTGGTAGGGGTCAACAAGGGCCTGTAGGGCATGGGGCTCCGACGCAATGATGTCTGTCTTTTCCATCAATTCCGCGGCCTTCTGCTGGAATTGTCCCGGAGTGGAGACCATAATGTAGGGGATGGTGAGAAGAATGATCTTAACAATCTCAGTACCAATGGTCTGCCTAGAGTTAGTAAATGGAATTCCATTGTAGATGTTCGAAACTCACGTCATCTGAGCTAGCTGTCTGGAGGTCCGCAGCTCGGCTAAAGAGCTCCTCCAAAATTGGGAAAAGACCATCTCCCTCAAGAAGAGACTGCAGACAAGCTAAGAACTTGAGTAGCAGTTTCACGTCACGCCATTCGCCCTGTGCGATCTTCTCTGCTGTGATTTGCGTGATACTTGCAAGGATCTCGTCAACAAATTCGGGTTTCAATGTGTTGATGATAAGAACGACGGCGGCGACGAAGGGTGTCTTCAATGGCTGTTCGAGCAGAAGCTGTGTCACAAGTTCGAGGAATGTCCTGCGAAGGTTTTCGTCGTCGTAGTTTTCGGCCACCATCTGCGCAATGGATTGAACTTCTTCAGCCCATCGGCGCAAAGGGGAGTCTGCGATGCTGAGAAGCTGTCGTCGGACGCGCACAGGAAGGGGCGCAGAATCAACCCGTCTCCGCTGGTTTCGGCGATCGTATTGGTCATCGTCATCTGCAGGGCAGCATATTAGCAGGCGCATCAGAGACAACGCGACAACATCGCGTATCTTGCATTGATGTTAATCTACTGACCTCGATATCTTCGCTTGCGGTAGCCACCCGGAGGTCTTCTATCGTAGTCGGCCATGATGCTGTCCTCGTCCTGATATAGCAATTCGGCGTGTATCAATGATGGTCGATATTGGTGGTGGATGAAGTTTGTGAAGTGAAAGTATGAGGCTGCGTCACTGCTAAAAGTTAATCAAGGGAAACAATGTGCAGGGATAGTGCACAGAGCGAGCAAGCTAAGGTACATGAACAAGGTTCGGATTGGAGCATGAGGCGCTACTAGGGGAATGGTATCGCGAGGCTAACACGCTAACACCTGAGCAATGTGTATGCCTGAGGCATTCTTTCAAACCTTACATTGACTTCTTGGTCAAGATAATTGAGAATAGAGATAACGCAGCCCGCTGTATTTACAAATATCAAACAAACAAACCTTCTAGGCAGCTTTAAGTTTGTTTTCCCCACGAGTGGTTATGAGTTTAAAAATGGCAATGGCCATAAGAGCTCGCCAATTCTTAAGCCGATGTATATTTACAACTTGGCTCGACATAGAATGCAATATTTACCGAGTTCAGAATACTTCCCCAGGCAAATAAGAATAAGGCCATAACAAATTGAAGTAAACAATCATATAAATTTAATCAACTTGCGCATTTGAAGTCTAGAAATAAAAGCTCCGTGCTTTTCAAAGACGTCAAACCCTCCCAACGTCCTTCAATGCATCACATCGTTCATTCTTTCTGCCTTTTATTGCAATTCATAACCAGTCCCTTATTCTTTATATCGTCTTGGACCATTGACGACTAGACCAAATAATGCCAAACTCCTCCACATCTTCGGGAAAGCGAGAGTAAGATGCCACAGGGCCATCCATAGCCAGCTTCAATTGATAATTTCGTTGCAGCATGAAGAACAATACCGGGTGCCGGGCTGCGTCCTCTGCAGGTAAAACCAGGCCGAGAAAACCATTCGCCTTCACTCCTGTGCCTCCAACCAACATCAGGATCGCGACTCTCCGAGCAACCATGGCAAGCCAGAACACGGTACCAAAAAAGAAGAATTCAACAAATGTTATCTCGTCATTCCCAAGCCAACCGTTGCCACAGCATTGGGTTCCACCCCTGAGGCGCATACAATGAAAAAATAGCACCGGTTATTATCCGCCATGCATCGAAACGTGGTCTAAAAACGTAATTCCCTGCGATATGCGTCAATGGGATCATCCCTCCTCGTGACTAGCCTTGAGGCAAAACTGAGAGCGGGTTCGTATAAAGGGCAAGCACAAAGCCCAATCCTCTCCCTACCGGGAAAGACTCCAACGCTCACCAGAACAAACAGACCTTCTCAACTGGCCCTCGACGCCTATACACCGTGCCTTATATTAAAGACCGACGCTGTTGGCCCCAGGGCCACATAGCGCCTGCTCGCCATCTGGTCAGGCTTTGGTGGGCCCTTGCTCCCAGCCACTTTTGCTCAGCTCGGTACTGGGAGTGGACGAGGCAGGTCTCTTCCAGAGCCACGGAGAGCCGGAGAAGGGTAAAAGCATATGCCAACTACCCTTTGCCTCGACGCGAGGCCGGCTCAATCCAGTTTCGCCATCATCTCCTGCTCCGTCAAGGGTGTGAAGTGGTCGATATCAAGGCCTTGCGATGCGAGAACGGGGCGAATATGTGCTGGGACAAGCTTCTGGTTCAGGCTAGGAGCGATTGAGAGTTCTATTATAATGTCAGCTGTATTATCATTGAAATTAATAACAAAGTTTCACATACCGTGACGAGTGAAGTCAAAGAGAGCGGGGAGCTCACGGAGCTGGCCAGTTCCGTGTCGCGAGTCGGGAAGCTTGGTGTTGGGGTCACGAAGCTCGTCGAAGAAGGGGTGAACCATAGCATCAATTGCAGATTGTCGCTCGGTGGGGGTGTACTCGAGCAGGCGAGCAATGAGGTCAATGGCGTTGGCGTCCGCCTTTCGGAAGACTTTGTTGAAGGGATGAGGCTTAATTTGAGGGAACTTGTGCTCCATATAGTTAGGGTTCATTGTTCGAATCTGTTCCCGAGTAGGTGTGCCCAGAACTTTGATGATCTCAACGAGCTGGTCGATACCTGACTCGCCAGGGAAAAGAGGCTGACCAAGCATAAGCTCGGCCATCACACATCCAGTTGACCAAACATCTAATCACAGTTAGCGAATAGAATTAAGTAAACAGGTTTTACACGTGATCTTACCAATCTTTGTTGTGTAGTTCGTGGCACCAAAGATGAGTTCGGGTGCACGATAGTATCGGGAGCAGATGTAGGAAACGTTAGGCTCGTTGGGGACCAAAATCTTGGCGCTTCCGAAATCGCAGAGCTTGAGGATACCGCTGTTGGGGTCGAGAAGAAGATTCTGAGGCTTGATATCTCGATGGCAGATACCTTGAGAGTGGATGTAGGCCAAGGCTCTGAAGAGCTGGTAGATGTAAAGCTTGACCTCTAGGATAGGCATGGTTGTCTTCATCTTGTTGAAAAATCGAGAGGCTCGGTAAACGGTCTCGGGCACAAATTCTTGAACGAGGTTCAGGTAAACCTCATCCTTCTATGAGGGAATTAGCGGGAAAGAACAGATGACTAGCTGGGCAAGATCACATACACGTTCGCCATTGGAGTAATAGAAGGCCTTGAGCTGGACGATGTTGGGGTGACGGACAATACGCATAATCTGTAGTTCACGGTTCTAAAACAAAGGTTAACAAACAGGCCATAGTACGCTGTGTTAATTGTACACACCTTGAACCTCTTGTCTTGAAGAACCCGCTTAATGGCAGCATCCTCTCCTGATGGGGACAGCTTGGTCTGGAAGACGACACCGAAAGAGCCGTTTCCTACAATCTTACACTGCGTGTACTGCAGGTCCCGAGTCTCGCCGGTAATTCCATCCTGAACCTTCTCGCGGATAACCTCTGCAATTATGTCAGTTCAGGCACCATACATCAAGCCAGGCCCATGCAGGCCCAATGACAGGGAAGATGTACTAACCTCCCATCCGGAGGCTGTTGAAGGCGTTTGGCCGATGAGCCGACATGGTTTGAATGCGTGAATCTTAGTCAAGCCGCGAGTGCAAAGAGAGTTGAACGAAATCGCCTGGGCGTTTCGACAAAAGAGAATATGCGAGGAGCTATTAAGTGGGCCGTGATGGGCAGAATGGAACGAGCCAATGCTGAAAGGCAAGCAAGAAGTTGGGTAGCGATTTTCCTTCAATGGAAAGCTAGATTTGCGCAATAGACAAGTGTACGACACTTGAATGACGATGGGCGAGTGATGTCTCGGTCGAGCAGGGTATCGGCACGGGCGCAGAGGGGCGACTCGTGAGGTTATTTCTGCACGTAAAAGCTCGTCAACCAAAGAAATTCTGGCTGATGAGAAACGATGCCGTTATTCCAAGTAGACTATAAACTGTTTGTGAGTCGAAGGCAACAACGAGGACGATGCGCACGAAATTGGCAAGGCCAAGGGTATCTGGGGAAACAAAGAGAAAACCGAGGGGAGAGTCGGTGGTGTTTTTGGTGGCACGGGACAGGCTGGAGGGGGAGCGGGGCAGAGGGGAAGGGAGGGGAGGAAAGGGAACAGTGGGCGCGAGAAAGTGGGCAAGGGACGGGGTATAAAAAGCTGCTGGTAGCGAGGGTTAAAAAAAAAAAAAAAGGACGCCGGGGGGACAGGGCCTAAAGATAGATCGAGGTACTAATGGGAATGAGTGGTAAGGTAAAAAAAGGTATGGTAGAGCCAGAGGTGGCGACGTAGGTGTATGTAGGTGCAGGTGCAGGCGCAAGTTTAGGTGAAGGGACGGACAAGCCGTGTTCAGTCAGGCTTCGTTCTTCAGGCGGTGTTTGCTTTGCTGACTGATCACGCAGGGACGGGGGCTCAAAGTGATGGGCTTTTTGAATGGAAGCAAGGCAGACACAAACAAAATGAGTGAGTGAGTGAAGGAGGGAGGCAGGAAGGGTGAAGTCGTTGACTTGACGAGTGTGCGTGTGCGTATGCGTGCGAACGTGAGTGCGGCAGGATGCGCTATGCTACGCATGCATTTACAAGCATGGATTGTTTGGGTAGGAAGGTTTTATTATTCTGTCTCTCTCTTTTTCTTCCTTCTGGCGTTCGATTCTCTCCCGCCCGTTTCTGCACCTCAGGCTATTGACGTTTGGATGCTAGTGATGTGTAGTGGAGATAGCTGCAGTCGCAGCCGTTGCTGGCTTTGAATAAAAAAGAGGCTGGCTATCCACGCTCACAACTTTGATGCCCAGACGAGCTTTTTTTATTCAGAAGGCCTCGAAATAATCCAGGGGACAAGGCGACGGGTAACAAGGCGTGTACTCGGTGCTAGGGGAGTGAAAGCTCAGGGAGTGCGGGCACGGGGCTGGCACTAAGCGGGTCTGAAGGGGCGGGGTGCTGGCTTGATGGGGCACGCTCGTGACAGCCCATCGATAGAATGCAGCCAGAGAAGACGAAGGATGAAAATAAAGGCGTTCCGGAACTGATGATGATGATAATTGAGGAATTTCGAAAAATGGAAGTACAGCAAGGGAAAAATGCATATAATTCACGGGAAAGGTTGGTAGGCTGAAGAGAGGCATGTATTGAATGATGGACCTACAATGTGCGATGCAGGCGACGCGAAAAATGATGACGATATCGCTTAGTTGGGAGTCAATTGTGCTGGTGACCTCGAGATCTTATGTAGTCGCGGCAGCTTGCACCGAATGATCGTGAGATGCGTGAGGCTTTCGAATCAATCAAGAAATAATGTGACAAGGGCCTTCTGTTTGTTGGAGAAAGACACAGGTGTAATCGGAACGGCTTGTTATGAGGCACAGACAGGTTCGGTGGTTCAAGGTTGCTGGGCAAGTGTTCATGTGAGTGCAGTCGGGTGCGGTGCAGTAGCTGTGCTTCTGGCGGCGTACGTGGTGATGCAGCGGCTAGGTACTGTAGCAGGGGCACAGGTGGTATAAACAATACGATGAGAGACGAGCGAAGCCACGGCGAGTCCCCTTTTTTCTAGGTGACTGGGTTTATTCGAGGTTTTACAGATAACGGCGTCGAAGACGGCAGAAGGCGGCTGGCAGTTATGGTAGGCAGGTTGAGGCCGAGCTAGGAACGCTTGAACAGACAGATGCGATGTGATGTATGCGAAACGATGGGATACGATACAGCCCAGCGGGAATTCTTAGGCCAGGGGAGAGTGTGAAAGCCCTCGAGGCATTCTAGGAACGGTGGGTGAAGTCAATCAAAGATGATGGTAGAAGAGGAATGTTTGAAGTCTGGTGGAATGAGCTGAGCTGAGCTGGGCTGGGCTAAATTGAGCCTCGTCTATGTTGGTTCTAAGCTTGCCCGCTTGCTAAGAAGCTGTTCTGAATAGGAGTTGACGAACAGCCTGACTACCTACCTAGTACTGGAGCTAAGGTAAATACTACTACGAGTAGGTACTTACTACTAGTAACCTGACGTGATACCTACCTACTACAGAACAGCGTCTAGGGCGGTACTCTTCGATCTGAAAGGCAGTATCCGTACCTTGGTAGATACCTACCTGGTACAAAATGCTCTGTGGCAGGACCTAGAGGTGGTGGTAAAGGGCGTGCACGGGGCAGCTATGCGGGGCGGTTTTCTACTTAATCGACAGAGTGACGGCATGAGCGGCCGTGGATAGCGAGCAGGTAGTGAGACGTCAATGAGCAACCAATGTAAAGTATAGAGAAAATAAACGGCTCCCGTTAACTTAAGCTGCCTAACTGCCTATACTAGTTTGTTTTATGCAGGTTAATAAAACCAATTGCATATACAGCGTTGGAGAGTAATAAACTGCCTTGGAGTGAAAGAAAACTTAACGCTAAAGCCAATGTCCAAAATAAAATAAAGCAAGTCTAGGATCTGCTCTCGTGTAAATAGACTGAGTAATTTTGTCGCTAATGATCTCATGTAACAGCTAGTTTTGAGGACCCCGGGGAGTGTATCGGGTATGGCAAGGAGGGGAAATTTTGGGTTGGTGTGTGAGGGGTTAATGAACCTGAAAGGTATTCGTAGCTACTAAGCTGGAAGGAAAGACAGGACTCTTTCCAGAATTACATATGCATGTTTTGACTGTTGATGCACAGCGGTGTCGGATATGAGAG